CGCCATCACAACACCCCTCTCCTCCTTCATCATCTTCTTCCATAGATCGTAACCTTGGATGAGACGAGATACTGACTTGCAAGAGACAACGCCCGCCCCCTGATTTTTTTCCCAGACTTCGTCTTTCCCGCGTTTGCATTCATCGAGGTCGCCGTTGCCCTCGTCGTTGACTCAGACTGTCCACCACTGACATCCTTTCGTTTGTCGGAAGAGGGAGCCGCCCCTGCATCTGGGAACGCAGTAGAAGATGTGGCAGTTGTGGACGACTTGGCAGCAGACGCACTCTTGGCAGCAGATGCCGTGACAGCAGCTGATGAGGCAGCAGACGATGACATAGCAGCAAATGGCTTGGTAGCAAATGGATTGGCAGCAGATGATGTGGCATAAGATGACGTGGCAGCAGATGACGTAGCAGCAAATGGCGTAGTAGCAAATGGCTTGGTAGCAAATGGACTGCCAGCAGATGACACAGCAGAAGATGACGTGGCAGCAGATGACATAGCAGCAAATGGCTTGGCAGCAAATGGTACCGGTAGGGGCATCTCGAAAATTTTCCTGCTGGCTTTTAACATCCGGTAGGGGCATCCCGCAAATTAGGGACTGGTACAGGTAGGGGCGTAACGAAAAGATTTGAGGCCCAAACAACACCGGGGTCTTATGGAAAATTTGAACCCTGCTCAGAGGGGCACGACAGGGTAAATCAGCCGTTGGAGGGGCGCAACGCAAAATAACGCAAATTACAGGGGCGCCAGACAAATTTTCCCATAAATAAATAAATAAATAAAAAATAATTAATTAAAATAATAATAATAATAAAATTGCGGCGGTTAACAAGTTGTGTGTTTGTTTTTCAAGCGGGTAAAGGTGGTGCTTGCAGATTAACTACCACCTCATGGGGCACTGACCAATGACTAGAACATGGAATTCGGCATTAGCCGGACATTATCCAGACGAAGGATGATGATTCCTACAGCGTGCTGGAAATTACACTCCACGAGTCAAGGTAGACATTCCTGAGGGGGGTCAATGTGACCTCATGACGCGCCAGCAGACTGGATATGCTCAGAGAAGACCAGGCAAAGAGAATGCAGGCAGCAGCAATGAACGGAGAACACAGCCTCGTTGTCTTCACAAGAAGAGTGGGGAAGACGAGGACACAGGACGGGATATGCCTGCGCGGACATGCAGTTTCTCACTGCCTGTGAAAAGCCCAAGGGGGAGGAACCTGGTATGTAAGATCATCACCCATAACGGACTACCGTCTTCCCACTTTGACTGTATCTGGCCGGAAAGATAGCGTGCATACCTTTTAATGTTAAGGGTGCGTTGGCTGTCCAGAGCTCCCGGACACTCCATGTCCTACTCTGCATGGCAAGTCATATCCGCCATCAGAGAGGGGTCTCTACCAGATTCTAACGGCAGCGCGAGTCCTCCCTCATATGGATATATTGTTCCCCTCCAGTCAATGGTAGACGAGGACGCTGATCTGCTGATCCTTACCGTAGACCTGCGTTACGGACCAGACCGCCTGGCTCACCTTGGTTGCCTGGCAGCAAGGGCGAGGGAAGGTCCCTGTAAAAACTTGAAAGGGGGGGGG